GATGGGAAATGTCAACTGTCTACAACAGTATTGAATGCCATCTTGTTCTGTGTTCTTTGTGTACAGCTACAAACAAAACTAATTAAATCAGGATTCTAAAAAAACAAAATTCAAGATTTACACCTGCAAAATCTGTTCCAGATCAGTCTGGTGGAATTAACATATTTACTTACATCCTGACCAACACTTAATCCAGTAATATTTATGATTGATTAAGTGTCACTGTTTTCTTGATCAGAGATTGGACAGCCACCAGATCCTCATGCTCTGACCTGTACGTATTAAAGTATCACCAGACAATAGCACAGAAAACAACTACCTCAAAATCGTTAGGATTCCACCCTATGTATCTACCATTCAGCCACCTCATAAAATGTTGGCAACTATTACACTGCGATAAGACCTGTCAAATGATTTAACCCAAATAACAGAAAAAAACAAGCCATGTCTGGAAGTCCAGCTGAAGAAATCCAATAAAGCCGATTTATGCTGGTCCCACAGCAAGAGTCTGTCCTGGTCTCACTGGCCATTAAATCATGTTGCTGTCGCCGTATTTGATCAAAGACGGAAAATAAATGAAAACGATTTCCTTCAAACTTAATAAATCTCACATGTAGTTAAATCAAGCATTAATTCGTCAGGGAAACAAATACATTCTACTTTCGTATCTTGAATTAGAAACCATGATAGAGGGTTTACGCCCAGGACAGTAAATTATTAGAAAATGTAATAATATTTTCCCTTTTCTTGACATAAACAAGCACTTAAGTACCCTCAGTGAAAGATAGTGTAACAGAACTTGCTTAAATTCCCATTTTTATAAGGTTATAATCTGATAATATACACGGAACTCATAACACAACATACTGTAATAACAAACATATTGTCAATTGTCCTAGGAGGGGGTAGTCTTATGGTTAAAGTGAAAGGTTGTCAAGCTCAACTGTCAATTTAAATCCCATCTGATGCTGTGATGTTCTGAAATATCCTCCACAATATTTAAATCTTGGCGTGATGCCAAACTCCAGAATAACCTCACAATCAGTACCTGTCTTCAACGGCTAAACGTTTACACTGATACAGACGAGGGGGCCTGATGTCACCAACAGGAAACGGAACCACGAGGGAGGTTTGTGTGGTCAGTCTCTCACTGAGTGCGTGCTATTGCATCATCTTGACTGGAGTGAGTGACTTTAGTTTTATGCCGTTTTTAGCAATATTCCAGCAATATCATGGCGGGGGACAACAGAAATGGGTTTCATATATTGTACCCATGTGGGGAATCGAACCTGGGTCTTCGGTGTGACGAGCGAACGCCTTAACCACTAGGCTACCCCACCGCCCCCATCTTGACTGGAAACTTTGTTCACTCTATCAACTACTGGCTTGTTTTCAGATGAAGCTTTCAAATGTCCTCCTGAACTCCCTCTGTCCCTTCCATCCTCCCTCCCTCACTCACCCGTACAGCTACAACTCACTCACTCACTCGTACATACATTAACTCACTCACCCACCCACCCGAAAACCCACTCACTCACTCACTGGTAGAGACAACTAGAATTATTCTGCCTCTGAATCTTGATTCTGTGTGGTAAATGTTTTACCTGATACACACACCAACAGTTAATTAGCCCATAGTATCAGCTTTTGAAAGTAGCCATATAAAATTAGACACCTTAACCACTGAAGCCAAAATATTCCTGTCATATTTCCAGATGATATTTGACTGTATATTTAATGTAATGCCACTTCCCCATGCATGATAAGAATCTGTGACAATGAAGAGACACCACTACATACATTTATGTTCACCTGTACCAGCTTCGAAACACATCCACATTTACAGTCTCAGTGTTCATGTCCTATGTAAGACCTCACTGTAGACAGACCATTAATGGACAACAGATATTGCACCACAATGTCAGCCAGCTCGACCTTTTTGTTGATCCACAATCTCTTGTTCATAATGTGTATTTTGTATCACTTATATATAAAAACCATGAACACACAGCTTCAGATTTTGATTACAAGAAGTGTCATGATTGAGAGACATATATTTTTCTCGTTCCCCAAACAACACCTGTAGGTAGGCATGACCTCAGCCTACCTGAGGCAAAGTCACAGGGATCTGTTTTTCCCCTCATGGTTCACTGGCTTATTCTTTATCAACAAAATTATGACCTTTTTTCACAGATTATTCGTAAAAATAACACCCATCATCCCAAGGAAATTATCTATTGTCATGCAATGTCATGTTATAGTGTCATGATATAGTGTCGTGATGTAACGCCATGCTACAACGGTGTGAAATACTTGTATGGCATAGTGTCATGATGTAGTGCCAAATGTCATGATACATAACTTTCATAGCCAGATAACACAACACTTCCAGTGTATTGATACAAGGTGCAATGTAATGATACACTATCATCATGAGTGAGTGAGTGAGTTTAGTTTTACGCTGCTTTTAGCAATATTCCAGCAATATCATGGTAGGAGACACCAGAAATAGGCTTCACACACTGTACCCATGAGGGAATCGAACCCGGGTCTTTGGTGTGACGAGTGAACGCTTTAACCACTAGGCTACCCCACCACCCCTTTATCATCATGAAGTATCTTGCTAGACTTACTAACCTATCTTCAAGAACAACTCACAACCATTCTCAATACACATCACACTACCACCTCATGTGTATTCCTAAACACCCCTCACGTACAAATTCATATCAGTTTCCTGTTCAGCAAACCTTTAACAGCTTAATGACACTACAGTATGAAATCTCGCCCACACTCAGTAAAATCCTTTCCTATTTGTCACTATCCAACGATCTCAGTGTCATCCATTGTCATATCATGCATTTCCTTCTCCAGGTCCCCAAACCACTGACTGAACAGGAACAGTCCATGAATGTAAAGTAAACAGATTGTCGGTGATGTTGTTTCTGACGCTGCAGAAGCCGACACTACAGGTGTTATGTCATTGTGATGAGTCTGTCAACGGAACACACACTTCATAAAAGATAAAACTGATGTTAACACACCTAGAATAGAAGATGTTGGGTCACTTTTTAAGTTTTACAAAACAATAAGGGCAGTTCATGTCCAGATTATGTAAATGCTATGTAAATACATCATCATGAATTTTAAAATGCAATCAAACGTTCACAACACACAAAACAGGTCCACAATCATGAAGGATATGACAGGGGGGGAGACCTGTGTACTATTCCTGGACTAGAGGAGACCTGTGTACTATTCCTGGACTAGAGGAGACCTGTGTACTATTCCTGGACTAGAGGAGACCTGTGTACTATTCCTGGACTAGAGGAGACCTGTGTACTATTCCTGGACTAGAGGAGATCTGGAAGGACAACTTGTTTTCTCAAATCATTGAGTTATTTTACATCAACTCATTGGATTTGACAGTTGTCAGCTGTTGTTCAAGGTCCTGTACATTTCATCGTCACTTTCGATACATGATTGCTATTCCATATTATGATATATTTTATCAAGTTTGTAACAGCCTGGGAAACAAGTCTGTGTCCGTGGGAAACAAGTCTGTGTCCGTGGGATACAAGTCTGTGTCCGTGGGATACAAGTCTGTGTCCGTGGGATACGAAGTCTGTGTCCGTGGGATACGAGTCTGTGTCCGTGGGAAACGAGTCTGTGTCCGTGGGAGTCTGTGTCGATCGGATACGAGTCTGTGTCCGTGGGATACAAGTCTGTGTCCGTGGGATACAAGTCTGTGTCCGTGGGATACAAGTCTGTGTCCGTGGGATACAAGTCTGTGTCCGTGGGATACAAGTCTGTGTCCGTGGGATACAAGTCTGTGTCCGTGGGATACAAGTCTGTGTCCGTGGGATACAAGTCTGTGTCCGTGGGATACAAGTCTGTGTCCGTGGGATACAAGTCTGTGTCCGTGGGATACAAGTCTGTGTCCGTGGGATACAAGTCTGTGTCTGTGTCATGCCAATTGAGTCTTTCCACTACTACCATGACAACAGACCCCCAAATAAGAACCTATAACCACTGGGCTACCCTTCTCTACAATAAAATACTAGCATATACACAGGTAAACTTACTGGGATAAATACAGCAAGTTTCTGTATCACAACATCTAATGGAATTTATACAATGACCTTCATGAAAGAGTGATGCAGTGCCTCAAAATATCAAATATTACGTCGATAAGAAATTACATCATTCAACAGACAATCCTGTGGTTGATAGTGTAAGTGCTCTCCCAGAACATCAGGGTACAAAGTAGAATTTGTATTTATGTTGCCGGGAGCCTATGAAGAACCACACAAAGTACAAAAGTGCAGAGCCTAAATTACTCCAGCAGTGATTGTAGGTCAATATACTCAACAAAATAAGTAATGGATCATGAAACAAAAGCTATAGGGATCATGAAATATTTTCTTTAATTCTATCACAAATAAAAGAAAATCATCACAAATATTCCTGGGTATTTTTGTTCAGTATGTATTTGAGCCGAGAGCCTGAGGTCACCACAGCTGATTCTGTACAGGTAGATGTCCAACATGCTCCTGATGAATCTCGGTCACCCAGGAGTAGGAAGTAGGGGTTATCCAATATCTATTAGCTATGATATACATTATATATACCACTCAAAAGAGGTTAAGGACCACCATATGTTTGATATTACTGCAGTTGATCTGTCATGTAACGTATGTTATATTTTTGGATAACACTTTCTTAGTGAAGTACAGATGCTAGTACTTTTGTTGGGTTGAGTCCATCTGGGATTCGAACCCAGACCCTCAGAGTCAGGAACCTAATTGCCAGCACACAAAGTCAGATGTCTAACCCGCTCAGCCACCATGGGTTCTACTTGATCTGTCATGGTGTATCACTGAACAGCTAAAACATCGATGGTACTTTGAGGGATGAAGTGTCTTCACCTCTATCACTTTTCCCTTCTTTTTTCAATTGCAAAACTGACATTACAAGGAAAATTTGATCACAACACTTACTTTTGGAAATGTTCCTCCTTCACTTAATCCAAATTCCTTGAAGCGCCCTGCAAGGGCATGCTCCATTTTAACAACCTTGGCCTTGACCTCTGGGGAGTCTGGGTCGTGACCTGTCCTGACCCCACTCCCTGACCTCCGGTCACGCGATGAAGGTAACTGCAACAGAAATGATTTCAAATTTATAATGCAATTAGACATATTCAATATGATAAATATAAATCTGATATTAATCACACTGACTTGTCTTCATTACATAAACTGTCAATAACACAATCACTTTCTCAACTACTGAATCTCATTCTCATCCATTCTCATCTCCACCATCCCATCTCAGCCCTAGCATCCCATTCTAAGATATTGCATTTGATTCTCAACTCTATAAACTTAGATTTCTATATTATTATTTCATTAAACTTTATACATACAGGGAGACTAAACTTTAGTTTATCATTCTGACATGTGGTACGACACTTCATTTCTTTGGCGCCAGCTCTTGGCAATCAATCTTCACAGACCAGTAAGAGATACATTAAAACATCATCATTACCCTGGGATTCACACACTGCCACCAGGAAGGGACTAAACCCAATTTATCATCCAAAGCTGTGTTCCAAAGGAGATATTGCATGTGTGAGATCAAACGATATCTCCAAGGATATCATTTTGACAGTAGATTTTGTACAATGCCCTGACAACGCCATGACATCATGCACTTGATGACATCACAATGCTATGACATTGCTGCACTGCACTGTTCAGAGATGTACATTTTTCAGTGAAAACTAAAGAAGAGAGATTTTTGATGATAATAGAATCTCACCCTCGTGTCTTCTGATATTAAATATATCAACCACTCGTTGATAAAAGTAAAAAATACCCTCGGCAAGCCTCGGGAATTTTTAACTTTATCAACTCGTGGTGATATATAAAACACTCTGGTGAGATTCTCTACATCTGGCATAACAAGTACCTGCCTCATCCGGGCACCATGCTGCATGTTGTAGACTCCTACAAGGACAGTCCTACTTTACTGGGTAACAACAAACATGTGTTGCTCATATAACGTATGATAGTCACATTACTATTGATTACACCGATATGAATATTATACACTATCTCAGTTTCCTAGTGGGACATTTCATGTTACTCACAGTCATTCATAGAGAAAGGCAGTCTATTCCCTTGCCAGTTCATATGTCACTGTCTGTATACTTCAAATAGTCAAATAAATTGGTAAAAGTCCTAATACCCGAGGTGACATGGTTATTGAATGGCATGATTGCCAAGTGTATACAGTATAGATCATAAATGTTGGCACATTGTCTCCATGCAATAGTGTTCCAAGTGAAGCTGAAACACAGTCTCTACGTAATTAGACTTTCAAAAAACTGGATGGATACATATTACTTAAAAAGAAAGAAGAAAATGAACATCCACCTTGAGTGAGTGAGTGAGTTTAGTTTACGTCGCACTCAGCAATATTCCAGCTATATGGTGGCGGTCTGTAATTAATCAAGTCTAGACAAGACAATCCAGTGATCAACAGCATGAGCATTGATCTACATAATAGGGATGCAATGACATATCAACCAAGTCAGCAAGCCTAACCACCCGATCCTGTTAGTCGCTTCTTATGACAAGCACGGGTTACTCAAGATCAATTCTAACCCGGATCTTCACAGGTACATCCAATTTGACTCATATGACTGTACTTATGCCATTGATGACAGAATACATGTAGTCACATGGAACATGGTGTTGTGATACTTCTCTGAGAGGCATACAATGAAAACTGAGTTATCTCACAAAGATGATTCTGATGGCTTTGAAGCATATTTCATGAGACATACAACTGGTCAAGCCATTTCTCTTCCAGCGTCATTGTATGAACAACTTACAAAATCAATGTTAAAAGTCTGATATCATGAAAATATGTCTTCAGTTAAATACCAACTCACGGAATGTCTGGAAACCAGAGTTTGCAAGTGTTGTTCCACAATGGAATTAACTGTTATCCAATATGTCCAGTAGTTGTTTTCAGATTTTGATGTAACATTGAAGAAGCCTTTAACTGGTCAAAGTACCATTTTGTATCAATAGCTGATACAGAAAAGTGATGGAACCCTTAAAATATTCACCAGGAATGTCTGCCCAGCGCCAGACAGTTGCACAGGTACAATGATATGGAGAGCAAGGGTCCTCTAATCATCAACAAACAGTCGTGATACCATATGTTCACGAGCATAGGAACATATGGCACAAATGAAAACAGGTACATCATTTTGATCACAGATGCCACAAATTTTGCCAACTACAATACTTTTCGAAAGCTTTACTGAGGCTTTGAATGTTAACTCTGATCTCACAACTTTTGAGCAAGAATCGTATGATGTTCATGAAACTATGAAAATGTCCTGACACTTGTGTCTTGTAACATCACAACAGTTTAGCACAACAATAAACGAAATGAAACAAACACTATGGAGTTCAACATCGTTATCTGCCGATGATGTCTCTAATGCAGCAGCAATCTCTCCAAGCACAGGAATGTTTTACTTGCATGATCCCCATATTGTGTCTGCAATCTCTTCCTAAATGTGGAGAAAGCCCACTGCTTATTGACAATGGCGATGTTCTCCACAACCCTGCTTCCATTCCCTGACAAACTGAAGCCATCAGAGACAAATGCAAAACTTTGCAAGTATCAATGACCAGGAGTTTATTTATGTGAGAATGCAATTACATTGTCACTGTGCTATAGAAAATGCACCAATGACATAATAATAAACAGGGTCGCCTTAACAAACATTTTCTGCCTACCCAGGTGTCGAGGGATAGCAAAATGTGGATCTCACATGAAATGGAAACTGGATTCAATTTCCGCTGCTAAAAAGGTTTTCTCCTATTTCTGTGAGTCAATGTAGGAAAGTTGAACTTGATATGCTTCAAGTTTCTTAAATTGTGAATTCATTTAGGAAGTCGTATTTCATCAGGGGCCCAAAGTCATAAATAGATATTACAGACTTTGGGGTTAAGAGAAGCGTCAGTTTGTATTTACAAACAGCAATGAAAACCGTGTTAAAGTTAAAATAGAATTAGTGCAAGCAGAAAATGTGATTAAGAGCTTCCCCAAATCGTAAGGATTCGACTACGTTTCTTCTCTTTAAATTTATTTTAACAAAATCGTACTTTCTGATATGGATACACTATACTGTACTTTTCTTAACAGATACTGATCTTTTGTCTTCTGAATATCTTTCAGGTTAAAATGCTCGTCATAAAAGTAAACTGAATGCTGAACATTGATCTTAAAACACATTGTAGGTACACGGATTGTGTCTTTTTATCCCCTTAATCTTATGGCCTTTGTTATTGGAGGAAGTATTTTCAAATTAGATAAATGAAAATTACAAGATTTGCAAACAAAGGCATTTAACAGAAAAACCATACCACTGATTGTGTTTCTGTGAGAAAAAAATGAGTTGAGTAGAGAAAGGAAATACTGATAAAAGATTATCACAGAAAAGCCAGAAAACATACTGACATTAACAATTTCAAAACTATGATTCCTGTAACTGTACTTGTAACACTGTTCACATTTATGCTTCAGTTGACCTGCCACAGACACGTTACAGATATTCATATAAACTTTGACTTTCAGTCACAGACCTGGAACATACTGAGCATGTTAAATAATACAACAGATATGTGTGAAATATTTGCACAACGCTCGACTGACCCAGTGATGGATTTCTCTACTGGGTCGTGACATGATCACCTATTTCCCTAACACCTGCTGTTATTGATCTCTGTTTGCACATATGTCGTACAACTATTTCTAATTTATGGAACATTTTTTCTATATATCTTTGAATTGATATCAGAATATCCCCGAACTGTTTTCGTGAAAAACATCTCCAGGCAGTCTACATGTGATGAAAAAGTAGATGAAAGGTGTGACATTTATCCACATGGTACAGCAAGACAGGGCTCATTGAACTGTGTCGCTGCATATAGGCATTGATTGATGGAAGGCAGCATGTCTCACTGTTCATACCTGGGGCAGGGGTTGCATTACACACACACACAGAAATCAAGACAATTAGAAACATTAACTTGGCTGCTACTGATAGGACAATCATCTTGTACTGCCTCCATCACATGACCACTGGAATTAGGAAACAGTAGACTGTCTGTGGTATATCCATCCACTCTCCTACCCAGAGTTCCATGCGGCAAGCCAGCATAGTACCTCTGCATCGTCCATTCCATATAATCTAAATATTTCTTAACTCTTTTATTTTTGACGAGTCTACACATCTAATTAAACATCTTTGATAGTTTCACTGAGAAAATATCCTAAAACATGTAACATTGTTTCCATTTGCGTAGCGATCCTTTGTGTACATAGGTTGTACGGCTCCACGTGCTGTCATCGAAGCCAACAGAGAGCAAGCGATGCAACCTGTTTGATATCTAAATATGTACTGTCATAAATCTTACTGTCGCAGTTGTGGAAGAATATACATGTAACAATGTAAAACATTGTGAAAAGCACGCTGAAAAGCTTGCGTAAGGCCAGTCTCTTCTTATTATGAATATGCGCGTTTGTTTACAAACAAGAGAAAAGTCTGGTCACGTGATATGCAAATTAGCCTGTGGCAGTGATGTTATGCTAAGTCATCGCTGCGCCGTAGTGTGATATCCATCTTCTTATTACAGTGGTGATGTAGGTCGTTGAGTGAATGATGCCTACTGATCCCCAGGTGTTTTAGTCCAGGTGTATTGTGTATACCATTCCTACAGATCTACAGGTGTTTTAGTCCAGGTGTATTATGTATACCATTCCTACAGATCTACAGGTGTTTTAGTCCAGGTGTATTGTGTATACCATTCCTACAGATCTACAGGTGTTTTAGTCCAGGTGTATTGTGTATACCATTCCTACAGATCTACAGGTGTTTTAGTCCAGGTGTATTGTGTATACCATTCCTACAGATCTACAGGTGTTTTAGTCCAGGTGTATTGTGTATACCATTCCTACAGATGTTCTAGTTCAGATGTGTTAAGTATACCATTCCTACAGATGTTCTGGTTCAGATGTGCTAAGTGTACCATTCCTACAGATGTTCTGGTTCAGATGTGTTAAGTGTACC